TGCTCTGTCCGTCATGGAAGTGAAGTGATCTGTACCCTCCTGGCACTACCAAAAGCAGGGCTCCTTATAATAAACAGACCCCAAAAGAGAGTTGGTACATGCAATCAGCATTGCCAGAAAGCTTCTCTAGCCAATAGTGGACTTGAGACTCGGATGTGCCCTGCAAGTCGAAGCTGAACAAACAAGCGCTGGGGTCATAGGTAGCACACTTTGAACCTGTTCCATGCGGTACATTCTGCGGATCACCGAACATCGCGCATTGGAGGCCACAAAGGGTAGCTGCTGCCACTCAAAGCAGGCCGGGCAAGCCACCCAGCGCATCCGCCACATGACCTGACATAGCTCGAAGCTCCGGAATGTGTCAAACATGGGCAAGCTTCCTCCTTGCTGGCATTCAACTCAAGGACTGATTCGCCATTCAAAGGGCTCTCCGTTGAGCGCTTCCTAAAATGAGGGTCCCGCCCCTTGGTGGCCTGCTTTGAAGCGCCAGTGTCACTTCCCACCATCGGATCGCATCTCGAACTGCCCGCCTCATCCCAGAGCTGTTGCCGGTGCTCAGCCGGCGGGTCGACAGCCGCGTCGAACTGGTGAGGGACTTGCTTGCTGCTCGGTGCCCCTTTTCGTTTTGCTTCAAAGCGAAAGCAAGGAGAAATCGCTCACTTTGTGCCCCCGCCCGCCTCGAGCACATCGACTCCCGATGCCTGGTGAGGCAAGTCTCACTAGGACTGACGACGAAGACCTACCTTCGTGATCCAACCAGGGGACTACAGGTGTGGCGGCATGCGTCTTCTCAGCATAGCTTAAAGCAATTCAGTTTGGAGAGTGCCAGTTCACAAACGTATCGAAGAGGATAATCTGCAAACAAGCCCACCCCCGCTCCAGAGTATGAAAGTACGCTCGCAAGGCAATTGCAATTAGAAAATACAAGAGGAGGAAGCTTCCAAGAATTCAAATTCATAGACGCCAATTGGAAATGAATCTGTTTGACCAATGAGGCTGCCAATAAAGTAGGTCTCAGCCCCTTTGAGCCATGCTTCGCTGCCGCCATCCTTTGCCACCTTCGAAGGGTCCCCAAAATAATCAACCAACTTAGCAACCAAATGGGTGTTTTTCAAGCCAGGGTCTGGTAAAGTTCTTTCGGCTTTCCTTCAAATGCCAACAAACAGGAAGTCCACCGCTTTGAGAAACACGCAAAATAAACATTCGATCCCACGGCGGCATGCCTGCGCGCCCGCCACCGTATCCATTGCACAGAGTCACACGCGTCTACAAACCCTCAGGTCCTTCAAAGCTGACCTTCCATAAACACACGAGGGACCTTGACCCCACCCTAGACAGGCTTCCAGTTGAAGGCCCCTCCTTGTTCTATGTTGCTTTGGGAGGATCAGCTTTGCATGCGGAAATGATCAAGGCTTGGGGGTAGGCCAGGTTACAACTCCAGGTTGGGTGGGTGTCTGGCAACACCCAAAAAGACAATCAGCAATGTGGAAGGTATCAACATTGCTGTGAAATCCTGCCAAGCTGATTCCTTTGCTCCTTTCAAGCTGAGAGCCCCAGGAGAAGATATGAGTTCCCAGCAATCCACGAAGCGTGGGTTGTGACCTTTCAAGCGTGCTCAAACCGAGGTCTACAAATTCCATGTGCTCTGTGCGGCTGCATTCTCTTCAGCCAGATTCCCGAGAAAATGACAGGCCCCGAATCCATCAAGCCTTTGAGAACTCGCAGGACTTTGCTGGCCTTTTTCCTTGCATGACTGCGACAGGCTGGTCAGGCGTTTGCCAGCGACACCTTGCCTTCATACATGCTACAGGCTCAAATACTGGGAAACAGTTTTAACCGATTGAATCTACCCTTCTCTACCACCTGAGTAGAATTCCACCAAAGAGCTGCCTGGCATGTTAATTCCCTGATTCTACGCCTGTAGGTGCACGCATCCATGCTTCTCAACACTTTGCTGGACAGGAGAGCAACAAGTATCCAGCCCGGTAGTTCGTTTGTCGTCTTTGCAACACGGGAAGAAGTTTGTTCAGAAGGTCTTGCTGAAGACGGGAACTGAATGTCAACGCCGCCTAGCATCCCCGGCAAAGCATGAGACAGGATCTAAGCAATGAGCCAAGCCGGTCGGGCCCAACGGATCTTTCTTTGCTCAAGTCAAAGCAACATGACACTCCTCAAGATGCCCTCTAGCGCTACTCCTTCCAGCGCGACTCCTCATTTTCGCAATGCTCCAGGCACAGTCGGGCCGGACCAAAACATGTTGGCCACCCCAAAAGGATGCCACGCCTAGCTAGGAGTTCCTGGAATGCGGAGATCCATCTGATTCCTCCGCGCCCGGAGCCGCCGCAGGCGCCGGAGGCGACGGCGGCGCCGGAGGCGCCGGAGGCGCTGGGTCCGGAGGCGCTGGGTCCGGGTGGGCCTGCCATAAGTCTGCCTTTGAATGACCCTGCACAAGCCAGGGCCGTCAGAGTTGCATAATTGAAATCAGCAAATCTGTTGAGGCTTCTGTGCACCAACGGGTTAACAGGGTCTGCACGGCCTTGCTACAAATTATTTGATTTTGTTTTGTCACTGTTTGGGGGCACTGTTCACTAACCCTACACAAGACAGCTGCACAAACAATCACAGAACATCGGTGGAAGAACTGCGAAGAGCTACCACAGGACTAAGCACCAGTATGACCCTGCCAATTGAGCTGAATTTCATTCGGAATGAGACCTGGAACATGGTGCAAACCAGTCAAACACTCATCTCGAGCAATAATATGTGAGATTAAGTCATAAGCAGAACGCCTTTGGGCATCACATAGCTTTTGGAAGTGACCTCAAGGTCAACCATTTGATTTGGGTAGACCCTTGTTGCTCACTCTCATGTCCCTCAACTGATTGTTCCGGCTTTTATTAAGAACTATCTAGTGGCGAGGGAGAGATTGAAGAGGTGAGTGAGGGTCAGCTCACCGTTGGACGAGACAAGGTGGTGAAGCAAAGAGGCAGGCCAGGAGAGGCTATGGTTGAAAAACATCTTGTGGAGATTGACCATATTGTCCTCTGACTTCCAATGTGAAATTTATCCTGCTCATGTCCTTCTATGTCTTTATGTATGCATGATGATATAAATTATATGCTGTCTGATGTAGCTATCACTGTCATTACCATTATCTTCCCCATAACGGTAGTTTTGCCTGTCTTTGTTGCATAATACTTGGAGACATGGAGAAGGGGCATGATGAACATTCCTCCATCTCGTACCTGGCAGTACTAGTGAGAGATACATGTGGCCGGATAAAAAGATGGGAGAGGAATAGACGATCTTGCTCTTCATCTCTGGTCCACCTCCTGCGTGTAAGACCCAATCAGTGGAGGTGGAAAGAGATGGCCTAGGGAAAGGAGAGAGTGGGACAGAACAAAGAGATGGCCATTCCCTTTCCCTGTGTCTCTGGATGTTGTCAATTTATGTCAATTGGCCCTGCCTCGTCGTCATCTCCGGTGTCCACTGTCAGCCCGGGATTCTGCACAACCACGCATAGGAAACTGAGCAAAACGGCCCCTGGTTTTTGTCGACTATCAGACATGCAGTCGTGTCGAAAGTGAATGAAAGAACTTTGGCGGCCCAAAGTGAGTTCCATCCCCAAACTGCGAAAACTTCCTGGCATGCTTGGGTCACCAACCGTCTCTGTCTCTGATAAGCAAACCTCTACACCTGAACCGTCTCAACCTCTCATACGCGCCTGGCGGCTAACGCCAAATCCTTAGCGCGATGGCTGCACAGCTGGCTCGAAACACGCTGACACCCAGTCGCCCGCATGTCACTCCAACACACCCAGCATCACCAGCTCATCGTGGGCAGCTGGGCAGATTTCGGGGAGACAAGAGGTCGCCACAAGGTTGGTCCAAGCCAACTCGAAAAAGGGCTTGGGGCGAGTGCGGGGCTGGGTGGATTTGGCTTTGAGCTTGGGTCAGTTCTGCAACATGAATGAAGACACGAGTGGAGAAAGTGCACGATCACAAACAAGGATCACAAAGCCGAACAACGGCCCTGCAAAGAAGCCGGGGGTTGGGGGTGGGCGCAGCCCACCCCAATAGAAAGAAAGGATGAAAAAGGATACTAAAGGAGAAAGTGCGCGATTACAAACAAAGATCGCAAAGCTGAACAACGGACAGATAGATCGATAAACACATAGATATGTAGGACCTTCGCGCTCCGGAGCCGGAACAAGTGGCCCGCGTGAAGCGAGAGCAAGAGGCAAGGGGTGGTTTGGATTCAGGCATCCAGTTTGCTTGTAAGCATGCGCCGGCTTTTTGGGTCCAGGGTCGATTGTGTCACCAAGTTTGGGAAGTTTACCCTAGTCCTCGATTTCGAATCCTCGGCAAAAACTCGGGGAAAGCCTGCCTGACGCCCTGACGGGAACCTTGTGCAGTCCGAGAATCTGTCTTCCCGATTCGGCGCATCGATGGTGCGGCACTTTGTCACCTATTGTCCAGCATTGGCATGCAAAAGGAATAAAATATGTTTGCAACAAGTCATCGAAACCCTCCAAACCACATGAAAAAATCGTCACCCTCTTATCAGCGCCTGTTCCTGCATCACCCCTCTCCACCCACCCCCTTCACCTCTCCCCTCCCCAACGCCGCCAAAACCGCCCAACGTGCCCAACCGCAACGTCCCCTCCAAACCGCCCAACATGAAACACCCAGGCCTCCCCCGGCTCGGGCCCCTCGGGCCCCTCGAGCCCCTCCGGCTCGTGCAGCCGCCGCGGCAGCGGCATCGACACGCTCTCCGTGATCCGCGGGCACTGGTCCTCCAAAGTCAGCTGCGCGATCTCCCGGAGCGCCAGCCCTGTGAGCTGCGCCGCCTGTCAGCTGTTGGGCACTCGTTGGAAGTTTGCCCTTGAAACCAATGGGTTGTTGCCCGGAAAAAATAAGGGCGATCGAAACCAGGGGTCATGCTTTCCCTTCACAAATGAGCGATGGTTTCTTCTGTGCTTGCCATTTATGCCCTCCCTCAACATACGGGCATGGAGAGGGCCCATGGCTCACATTCTCCTTGGTCCGTTTCCATCTCAACCGTCTTTGTCTTTGACCTCCAAAGAATGGAATCCATAGCTAAAGGCATGGCTGCATCCTCGTTCCCTAACCTCAAAATTCCCTTCACAAAAGGCACCGGTCCCTCCCCATCCTAGCTCTCATCCTCTTTTCTCCATCTCCCCACCTCTCCTGTGCTGCCAGCCTACTTTCTCACTTTCTCCATCTCCCAGCTCCTGCCCAGATCTTCCCATCTCCCCGCCTCTGGCACCGGCTCCCGGCCGGGGGACGTGTTCCCGGAGCTCGGGGAGAAGTCGGACCGCGAGTTGTCGGAGCGCAGGTGGCCCACGCCCAGCCCCGCCTCCCGGCGCTGCCGCGCCAGGCGCCCCGGGGACGGCAGCTCCGCGGGCTCCTCTCTCCACTGGCACCGTTGTTGTCTCCGGTTTGGACTTGCCAGACTTAATTTCAGAGATCCCAACGAAGCTCAACGGGACAATGGGGGGGCCCCGCATCTCTACATCTATCCATAGACTACCAATACTCTCTTATCAGTTGCTCAATGATCTGCGAGATTCCGTTGGTGGAAATATCTGCCCAAACCCCCCCCCCCCCCCCGGGCCACTCCTCGTTCATGAGCACCGCCGCCAGCGCCTCCTCAGCGTCGAAGATCCCAAAGAAGTCCTGCGACGACCGTGCCCGACGCTGGCCGCTGCCTTCTGCCCGCCAAAAAAAACAAAATGCAGGCCGCCTGCACAAAGATGATTCGACTTGACATGAAAAGTGCCCACCATGAGATTAGGGAGAGTTTGCAATCTTGCGACATCTCTGCGCCAAACATCTTTGTCTCCTGAAGGAAGAAATCACAACCTTTAGCTTTCCAGTAAACGGCCCAACCCACAGTTTTCCTCACAGTCCCAGTTGGCCCCAACCTCCCCGTCTCAGTCCGTCCCCGTCCTCACCCCGCAGCACCACCCCAAAACCGCCGTCGCGGGTCTCCGCGAGAGCTGCCAAAGCGTCCGCTACCGTGTCGTGGGCCTCGGATTGGGTGGGGGCAGCCAACTCAGGGTGCGGCATCGGTGCTCGCTTGGTTTGCTTCTTTACTTCTTTGCCTCTTTGATGAGTTCTCTGTGCAAATCCAGTTGCATCTGGTTCTTGTTGGCGGGGTCATCCCAACGACGTGACAGGCTGACAGCCGCACTGGTATCAGTGCCGATGCTCACACGCTTTCGAATTGCTCCCTTTGGACAGCAGGTGGCCGCCTCCTATTTATCCCTTACGTTGGGAGACATGTGTTGAGATACATGGCAGGAAGCCGAGCCACCTGGCCTTCTTAGCAGGCGTGCTGATCCAACTAGCTTCTTCGCTTCTTTGATTCGGTGCTTGCTTGCTTTGTTGCTCGATCAGTTGATCGGTTTGCTGAGAAAAAGGATTCCAGTTTTCGTTCACCAACCATATTGAGCAACCAGGCTGTGAACCTGCACGCGCTTCCTAAGAAATATATCCTCTTCGGGGTATCCATGGCTGTTCCATGTGGTCCAAACGGTTGAAGGATGCCTTCGGGCTGGATGAGGACGTCTCCTGCAAACTGCAAACTTGTGAAAGAGCTTTGGGTAACTTGAAAGACGCTGGGACGTCTCTTCCTGCCTTCAAAGACCTCTCCCATGTTCCAAACACCCGACAGCTCCCGCTCCCCGCCTCCAGCTTCTGCACGTGCTTTCTCGTGCAGAGGTCCCCCACTGCCCTGGCGCCCATCTCCAGCAGCTCCGAGGTCCGGAGAATGCCTGCGAGATGACCCCCCCAGTCCCCAGTGATGGCTGCAAACATATCATCTCTGCGTGTGTCGATGTATCCATGTATTCCGCTGCATCTATGTATGCAGCTATGTGTCTCTATGAGTCTGTGAGTCTGCGTGTGTATGTAGCTATCTATTTATCTATCTCTATCTATCCATCCATCTATTTATCGATCTATCTACCTATCTATCGATCGATCTATCTATCTATCTGTCTATCTATCTATCTATCTATCTATCTATCTATCTATCTAAACTGATCTGATCTGATCTGATCTGATCTGTCAAACTATATATATATATGTGTTAGATATGTCAACCTATCTATGTATCTGTGTATATCTATGTATCGGCTTCTTCATGTATTAATGTATTCAAAAAATGTATCAAAGTATCTATGTGTCTACGTATCTCTGTAAGTAACTACGTATGCAAGTGCTTGGAGGTAAATCATATGGGGAGTGATAGGTGCTATGGGTTTCGAGCCATTAGGCCACGGACCCTGATAAAAAGGGAAAAAGGGGCAACACAAGGGAACACATCGAGTTCTTTCACCCAGGTCTGGTGGCAACATTGGTTGAAGGCATTGGGCCATGCAACGTGGACATTGGACTTGGGCGCCCCACAAAGGACCCCAAACGATTATTCCTCTGCAGATGGGTGGTTTTCGAGGGTCTAAAGGGTTTGCCCCCAGTTTCGGGTGGGTGAAAATTGTTTTGGATCGGGTTCAACATGTTGAGAACAGTTTATGTGGCAGACTGACACAATCCTTCGCAAACTGGGAAGAAGGAAGCCCAACGACGAGCCCCAAAAGCAAATGCCTCTGCAAAAGAAGTGCTTTGGAAAAAAGTCCATCAAGAAAAGCCAACCTCTCAATTGGAAAAATGTCAGAAACTCGGGACTCTTTGAGAACAGTTTGAAAGGGCAACGGCGTTTACCGACCTGAGTATTGGAGTGCGGACTTTTGCCGGCAACATGCGGCTTTGTGTGCAAAAGCTATCCTCTGCTGTGGCGGTGGACCGGAAAGCTTGAACACCTTGGATTTGTTTCAGCCACGGACCTGGAAGCAAACACACCCCTGGCTTTTCCGTTGTCTCTCAGCTCACCAGCTGCCATTGAGGCTTGGTCTGTTCAGAAAGGACGCCAAGACAAAAGCAACCATCTGGAAGTCCCCTTTAAACACATTCCTGGGACTGTGAGCTTAGTGATCGACATACTATGGGATACTGCCTTGATATCAGCCGACCCCGGTCCCATCCTGAGCCAAACTGCTCGAGCCCGACACCTGTGTGAGCCATTGGACAGTGGTCACGGCTCTCCTAATCATTGGGCTCTGCACATGGCTGGGACTCCATCCGTTGAACACACGTAAACCAGAGTGGCTTCAAGCATCGTGTTCCTTCCCCCCTTTCCAACAAAAGCCGCGCCTGAGATCTCGTCCCAGGCTACCTCCACAGGCCACTGCACGTGCTCCGTACTGGGGAACACCACCACGAAGTCCTCCCAGTCGCCGGCTCTCCGAGCAGAACGAGCCCGGGAAAGGCTCAGTGAATCCACCCGCCAAACGCCTGCGGTTTACCAGTATTACCAACTGGCTGAAGGAAACCGGAGCGGAGCGGCATTTCCCGGTTGAAATGAACCCCTCCGAACAGTGCCTTTCTCTTGGCATGAGGAACGCTCGGTCCGCGGCGATCTGTACTTGGGAGACCCCAAAAAAGGACTGGGCGCCAAGGCAGGGTTCTGTGACTTGCTTTCATAAGACCTACAAGACAAGACTCCGGGGAGGTCGATCAAAGCCTTGTAAATGCCCTAGCTTTATAGGATTCAGACCCGGGCCAGGCCAACTTTTCTGGAAACGCGGAGCGAGGGAATTGGGAGGCCAGGAGGCCTTGTTGGAAGATACTGCATCGGCAGCGACTCCGATGGCTGTGCTGTAGTAGTCCACTGGCATGACTCTCCTGCCGGGATGGCGAGAAAGGTTAGCAGGAGTTCCTAAAATGGAGACGCTCGCGGACATCCATTTAAGGGCAGCGCAGAATGAGGGCAACCTGTTTGCTATCATCCTGGCATGCTTTGATTCAGGACCCTGGGTGGATATAATTTACATTGGGTGTTGCTTAGGGGTGCTCTGCAGCGGTCTCTTTACCACATCTGCGATTATTATTATCTCTTATGCCCTGCTAGTTTAAGTCCTCGTGTATCTTATATTGAATGGCTCTTATGGCCTTTAAATTGACCTCCTATGTTCATCACGCTAACTCTTATCTAATCCTAAGCACCATGGTTCGAATGCAAACTCTTGCTTGTTTTGGACTTCTGTTTTGTTTTCCCAAGTTTAAGTCTTACATGCTCCAAACAGGTTCGGCATCACACAGTTGCTGGGTTCCTAGGAGGGTCTTCCGAAGGCAACACATACCTAGCAGTATGTATTTTCAACGCTTTAGGGTTATTTGCCCCGCTTCAGGGATATTTGTTGGTGGAATCAGAGTTAGGTATTGTTGTACCGTTGGGAAATGAAAATTCAACCTTGTCCCCTCCAACTGTTCAGTTCTTGTCTAACAAGCAGCCAAAAAGATCTAACCTGTTTCACTCCCTGTGAACAGTTCATTGGTTATCATGTATCGTGAGTCATTGAGCAACAAATCGTACTTGAGTTTGAATCGATGTTTGTTTTGAGAAATTGGAAAACATGTGAGTTAAACTAAACGAAACTTCGATAAATTCACAGATAGATTAGGATAAAGTAGGACTTAAATTAGACGCAAGCAACACGCTAAATACTGTGAAAGCCTAAATAAATAAGACACAAATTTGGAGAACATAAGGTAAGTTGGCAAAAAAATATGGATCAAACATTGAGAAGCACAAGGGTGACATTTTGCAGAATGAAAGTGCCAGGAGAAAGCCCCCCCCCCCCAATCAAATTTGGCAGAATCCGTGGCCATGGCCCTCACTCCAATCCGAAGGCATTGCGCTCCTGGCGCACTGCTTCAGGGTGTAGAAACCCGGACTGTCAGCCACCTAAGCCACCGAGCTCTTGAGCAACCCCCGCAATATGTGTATATACACATATGTCGACATATGTTTCTACGTCATTTCTCCTCGTCTCAGACTCTGGTTGCGACAGCCTTCTGCAAGTTGAGTGCAGGTATAAGCCTAATTCTGGCTCTTGGAGTTCTCAATTAAGTCTGAAAGTATCGGTTCCAAACTGTTTGCCCAGATGGCATAACCCTTGGGCGACAAATGCAAAAAATCCGGCATGATGTCTTGCGAGATTGTGCCATCTGCATTCAAGAACAGCTTGCCAAAGTCATGAAACACTACGTTGGCCTCATCCTCCGCAAACTGTTTGATGAGCTGATTCAGGCTCATAATTTCTTTGCGGAACTGTGTGTCAGGATGTTCATCACGTGGAAGCACACCAAGAAGCAAAAATTGACTGTGGGGAAGGTGCGACTTGAGCTCTCGCAGGAGCGTAGCGATGGCCTGGTGTATCCTGGCAGCACTGTGCCCGCTGACACCAAGGTTGTTTGTCCCGATCATCAACACAACCACTTTGGGATCCAAATCCCGTAAGGCAGAATCCTGTACACGCCAAAGGACATGCTGAACCTCGTCTCCACCAATACCGATATTGAATGCATTCATGGGCTCTCCAAACTTTTGCTTCCACACGTCAATGCCAGCATCAAGCCATCCCTCCGTGATTGAGTCACCCAGGAACAGCACCTTACACTTGTCAGGGCGCTGCAAATATATCCGATGACGCAAAAGCCACATCTGCTTTGGACACCATGGTTTGTCTTGCTCACAGGCTTCGCATGGATCCGTGTCGCGAGCTGGAAGTGTTGGAGCCAGCCTTAGAAAAACAGATTTCCAAAGAGATCGCACAACCTCCGTCGGCGTTGTGCGGAAGGCACAGGAAATCAATGAAATAACAAATGCGCAGCCAGCAGCAAAGCCTCCACCGGCAAACTTCCACGGGCCAAACTTCGTCAACTCCATCTGGGCAGGCTCTGGCACCCCTGCTCTGGATTCTGAGCCCGAACAGCTTGAGACAAGTCAAGATACATATATATATATATATATATATATATATATATATATATGCAACCCCCCCCCCCCATGGACCCTGGTTTTACAGCCTTTTGGGGATGGCAAATCTAGAATTTCCAAATTTATATTCTCGAAATTTCCAATTGTGGGTCCCCAAAGCGTGATAATTTGGAGCCCGGAGTCCTCCACAATGTCCCAATGATACCCTTTGCACATAAGATGTTACTTCAACTAGAATTGGAATTTTGAATATAGTTTAGTATGGATATAGTTTTCAACAATGTGTTTATGTTCAATTACAGCTTAAACAAGCAAATCCTTTCCAAATAGCAGCTACATGAAAATGTAAATATATATTTTCGGCTAAACTCCAACTAATCTATAACACAAGAAGTTAGACGGAAGTTTTTCCCAAATATAATCCAAGTGGTAAGTATAATCTAAGACGAACACAACTCAATTTGCTTTTGATAATATCAAGTGAATAGAGACTACACCTCAAATATAATTCATATTAAATATGGCTAAACATTTGGAAATTAAAAATAGGATTTGTGTTGTTTACATGCTGGCCCTTTTGTAGCATAAGAAAGGTCCGACATTGAACTTGTTAGACGGTGTTCCAAAGGGAAATTTCAAGGGAAGAGAGGTTCAAAATCTAAAACTATCTCGAAACAGGGATTCTATCTAAACCGTTGTATTTAAAGTCCTATTTGCGCAGGAAAGTCAATTCTATGTCAAAAGGTGGAGGTAGTAGATGAGCAAATGTGGACAGGTAGTTGAAGAGGGTGGGGGACGGTGTGTGAACGTACATACATATGTATATCTATATATACACATACATACACACATATATAGTACCCCCAATGATCCTGCGCCTCCTCATAAAATACTGGAAAATGCAGTATTTTTGAGCGTTGCACCTGCCTTTGTTTACCTCCTAGAAAGGGGTCAACATGAGCATAGCTGACATGAAGCTCACCAAAAGCACTTGAAAGTTTGTCTAACCAATAACTTGAAAGTGTGTCCACTGGATCGCTAAGCACTTGAAAATTTGCTACTATCGGATGGAAGATTCAATATTGAAGATTACACAGAACACTTTCCTGAGAATTGTCAATCCTGGCCAAACCCAAATAGCATTCAAGTTCTTCTAACACTTGAAAGTGCTTTACCACTGGATTGGGGATTCAATATTGAGGAGCCCACAAACCACCACTTTCCTGAGAATCATCCATCCTGGTCAACCCCTAAAATGTTCAAGTTGTTCTATCACCTCGAACATCCGTTACCACTGGATTGAACTATTTCACGGAAAACTTTTCCGAGAATCTTATTGAACACCGAGAGTATTGGGACAACCCTGGATTTTTTTTAAACTTTTTAAAAATTATGGGATTCAAGATTCAAGATTCAAGATTCCCAGAAAATATTTCTTGAATCTTGAATCTTGAATCCAGAATTTTTAACAATTTTTAAAAAATTATGGGATTCAATATTCAAGATTCAAGATTCAAGATTCCCAGAAAATATTTTCTCAGATTCTTGAATCTTGAATCTTGAATCCCAGAATTTTTAATAATTTTTAAAAATGTCTGAGTTGTTCTTGTATTCTTGGATGCATTCAAACTCTTTCAGATTGCAGGTGCTGATGTCATTGCTGTTATCACATCTGTATGCATGCATGCGTATCATATACATGTACGACCCTCCCCCCAATTTTGACACAAATCCAAGAAGCAAAAAGAAGCATAAAACACTGGAAAATACAGGTCAACCGCACCAAACCAGGGTCCATGGGGGGGGGGTACCATATATATCTATATATATATATATATGTTCCCGTCGCCCGTCCTCCCCAACAGGGGCGGGGAACGATGGACCCGCCCCCCATCCCACAGGGCGGAACCTTGTACAGTCACACTTTGCTAAATCCTTTAGACCCCGACCCCCATTCCACCATGGACCCCCCACCCATCGGGGGGGCGGGGGGGGGGCTCACACGGTGCTACCTTCTATAGACACCAACCCCGAGCTACCTTCTATAGACTCGGCGGGGGGGCTTGTACGGTCACACCGTGCTACCTTCTATAGACCCCAACCTCCATTCCCGGGCGGGGGGGCTTGCATAGTCACACTGTGCTACCTTCTGACTGAGCATGACCATTGGGGGGGGGGTGGGGGGGGCCCAAGGAAGACTGGATCGTATATGTATATATATATAAGGGAAAACTAGCAAGTCAGATGGACTGTAGACTATGGGACATTTTGGCCGACTTGCCAAGTCAAGAAAACGGCGCCGCGCCCTCGGCAAGAACTCCTGGGTGCTGTAAGCGAGCAATCAAGGCCCAGCAAAGCTTACTTGCCCAATGGCCAGACGGACAAATTGGGCTTTTTTGTACAGATTTAAAAAAAAAATGAAGCTGAAAAGATAAACGAAAGGATGCTACCGTGCATGGACCGAGTCCAAAGCTCACGGTCTGAGGGCGGCGCCAGCATGTCGCCTAGTCTCATCACAGCAAGGCACAGCTCCACCTGGCACGGAGGCATGAAGCTCAGCTCTGTGGCATGGGTCTGTGCAGGGGTGAGTCATACCAAATGGTGGAAGAAGAAACAAAAGCAAAAAAACGGCTGACCCCCCGGAAATCGAAACCGTGGGCTTGGAGGTTCCAAACAAATTGGAGGCGCAAGAACATGTTTGCCTCTAAATGCCAGAGAATACAGTTAAAACTTGTTGTGTGGGCCGTCATGGCTCCCATACTGAGAATACTTATGTATCACAAACCATATTCAAGGCTCCATGACCATCCCTAGTCCCAAGTAAGCAAGTCTTTCGATGGCACACTGGAAAAGTCTCATCTCGCACTCCAATCTTTAGCAACCCATCTGCAACAACCCAATGGAACAAATACTCGCTTTTTGGGCTCCCATGCCCACCCAGCAGAGTCGTCGACCAAGCTCCCACGTTCCCTTCAGGATTGGATACAAACACAAAATTGCAGCGGGCAACAGACGAGACATAGCAACACCTAGCAAAACGGCGCTCACCTCCTGGTCCTCCAGCACGCAGGGCAGCTCCACGGGGTCCTCCTCCGGCAGGAGGCACTCCGCAGTGCGGAGGGCCGGGCTGACGCCTACGGGACTTTGGGCTGTGCCTTGGGGGTTGGTGTCCCATGTCAGTTGCGTGAGGATGTCGCAACTGAGGGGCGTGGCTAACTCACGGCTTGCAAACTACTGGCTTACCAGGTAGGCCGTAAAACTAGGGGTAGAAACAGAATGAGGGGGGATGGGACCCTGGATGTGGACGACAAATGGGCAAGCAAAGGAGCCACATCCAAGCTCAGGAGATGCAAGTGTGTGACAAAGCAGCATGAGATGTGCTGTTCACTGCCGAATCTTGTATCCAAATCTAGTAGCGCCCTGTGAAGCATTTCCTTTGATTTCCTGATGCATGACATATGATCGGGGGAAGAAAAAACAAGCGAGCAGCAAACGCAACGAGTTGATGATAATGTTGTGTTGGCCTTTTGGATCTGTAGGCTGCTGTCTCTTAGCTGCACAAAAGGTTGCTATTGCTGAAAAACAGGTTGGTCCAAAAACAGCACACAGCACCAAGACCAGCTCAAGTTAGGAAACTTTCCAAATGACAGCGCAAGCCAGCCAATGTCCCCAGTGTGCGTCAAGATTGGCATATCACGTCGAGTGCCTGCGGGTGTCACCGGAGTCATCAGACCTGGACATGTTCGGCCAAGCATGTCCAGACCGCATCTGCAGACGTTCAAGTGTCTGCTGTTTGCCGAATCAAGAAGAAAGCCTTGGCAGGGACTGGTCGTCTTTGAAAGTTGTTTCAATATCATCCCCCAAACATGCGGTCCTTCATCTCCACCCATTCACGAGCCAGAAACTGGCAGTAACAATCAAGCAGAAGCCAAACATTGGGTTCCAGCAGGGCAGCCAGAGCATGCAAGCTTGCAATGGGAAGCTGGGTGACTCTACGTGTGCGCTTTTGACCCAAAGGCCTGAGGCTTCTTCGGAGCACCCGCTCGGAGAATGCAGGCCTCGCTTCTCTGCCGCAATGGGACTCCCATGCACAGCCGCATCTATGGAGGCGATCAGTGAGTTGACCCACTTGCAGGTACCTGTACCACACCAAATCTGCTAGGGGATCTTCAAAAATACTGGGTGTGTCTCCAAATTGCCTGAAAATCAGAGCGGCTTCCCTTCGGCCCTTCGGCCCTTCGGCCCGTCGGCTTTGCACCCTCGGCAACCACCAAACAGGCGCCGAACCGCCTCCCTGGGGCCCCAGGCGCAGCACTGCCCGGATCTCCGGCCGCGAGAAGCGCTCCTCGCGGCTGTGGGTCAGGGCCTGGTGAGCGAATCGGAGTCCAAAGTCATGCTGACGAGACGAGTTACCGTTTCCCCCCACCCCCCCCACGACACGTCCTTTTTACTCACTGACAAGAAGACACTATATCCCGAACTCCAACCAGCCAGATGTTCGCTGAGCTTCAAAGCTAGGGAACCGGCAAGAATTGGTCGCAAGGGGGGAAAACACAGGGTCCGTTCAAGAGATCGCCAAATGGGCAGTTGCAAGTTTAGGGGATAGGCTCCAAGCGCCAAGACCAACCACGCGATGGAACGCTACACGAACCACTGCAGGGACAACCCTACTCGATGAATATGTTGAACGTGAGGAACTCTGGTGGCTTCCAACGACACCTCGCTCGATGTGTCACATTTGCTGGGCCGGCGGTTGCGTGTCGTTGGCTTGGACTGAGAACGGCTGGCCTTATGTCTAAACGAAAATGGTTAGCGTCCGCTTGATTTCCCTTTGAAACAACAAATAGGGTTCCCTCAAAAAATGACACGCCCACATCTTCCGATAGCTTAGGCAGAGGTTGCTTCACTGGTTGTGCCGCAGGCTAGAAAAACTTTGGCGAGCATCGTGGCAGCTCAGCTTGGAGGCGGACACTAAAAGAAACAGCCACCAAACCCCCATGACGCCTGTGAGCCGATGCAAGTGGATCTGCTGCTTTTCTCGGCGTGCCTTGTCCAAGATCTTTGCAATGGGCTTTGCAATGCAGTACATTGCCCCAAGGAGAAACTTGACCACGGGGATAAACCTGAGTATCGAGATGCGAACTGGCAAGAAACCGCAGGTGCTGAGTGGTGTGTCGAGCAACAGAGACACGAGTCACCACAAGAACCGGAAAGAAAAAGAACTGTGTTCTACTCAGCGTTGGTTCTGTGTCGACTTTTACGGGCTTAGAGCAAACCTGAAGACTTTGAAGGCCTCAGGGTCATGCTATGAGGCACCCTTTTCTGAGCTGCAGCGCCTGCCTTGAGAGCTACGCCAACATCTTGGTTAATGATAAACAACGGTCGGACGCTGCGTTAAGGCGCGCCGGGGAGTCACGGTCACATGAACCTTATGTTTCGCATTAGAGGGGCCAATAGATTTCAGCAATGGTCTTGGGCGACGGGCAACAAAACACTCCCTTTGGTCGGGGGCATCAAATGTCCATCTGGCACTGAGCACGCCAGAGCGGGCGTGCCTGCGTTGGCAAGGCCAGTAATTTTCAAGTGGGATTACGCGACGCGTTGGCAGGGCCAGTAGTTCTGTCCACAAAGGCCAAAAAACAGTAGTTCCCGAGGCGCCGGCCACGCGGAGGCCGTGAGCTGCCAGGGGCCCGTGAAAATCGCCTGGCGGGCCCATCCCTCAAGCGATCCCCAGGCTGCGCCGATGTGTTGGAAACTCACCGGGCACTGCCGACGCGGAAGTCCAAAGGGGCTATGGCGGGTTTCTTTTTGGCTCTCTTGAAGCTGAACACCGCAGGTCGAGAATCATTTTGGACTCCAAGGTGGGAAATCAAAACCACGAGTGGCAAGTGCCAGCTGCTCGCAATTGGGCCAGGGCGGCCGACGGCAGGATCTCCCCGCAAACGAGCACAAAGGTCACCTGGCTCAAGCCGGAGTGGGTTGGCCACGAGTCCGGAACCTGTGGTTTCAATATTGCAAAAGCTCAAAATCAAGAAACTGGGGATGAAAGGAAAGCAAGTGGTTCCCGGGTTGACACGTTCCAAATATATCCGGAGATCTGATCTTTTAAACTCGGCCTCCAAACTTTTGCAACATCTCTGCCTGGTCAGCCCACTGGGCTTCGGCAACCATGGCCCAGTACAAACAAGGAAAGACGCGCCAAGCTGACGGACAGCAGCACGGCGAAGAAGGGGGACAGCAGGTCGTCCAGAAAAATAGGCAGCGCCTGCGCAGAAATCCCAGGTTAGTACCTATTCACTTGTGGCTTCAAAATCCTGATTATGCTGGTTTATCCAGCCCTCTCTAAAATACCTGCTGAACAAGGGAGTAGAACTTCCCAATATTGCCAACAGGCTTTTTTGGAGCTGCTCAGGTGGCAAAGCCACACACGGCCAATGTCTGAAGAAAAGAAGTAGGCGCCAGTTCCAATCAAGGAAGGCGAGTTCCACCACAAGTTCTTGGCAGCGAGGTCTCTGGTCACTTTCCAAAAACCATCATGCTAGCAGCACATTCCACTCTTTCCACGGACCCTTCATTTCGTAAAGAATGGAGAACCCACCTGGCTATGGCTCAAGAAAGTGGTACCAAGATGGCACCATGGTAAATAGAACCAAAGACTAAAACCTGCGCAACCGTAGCTCATTAATTTTGAGCCATAGCCACCTTGGACCCATGGTGTGGCGTGCCTCATTGGCCAAAGCGTTGAGCAACAAAAGGGTCACCAAGAGCAAGTGGTGGTCCTGCAGCGAGTGCTGAGATTGATCGGCACAAAAAGCTGTCATCAGCAAACATGGACGGCCAACCCAAGACAACGCGCAAATCGGAGCATAGCTCGCGCACAAAACCAATTACATCACTGTCACAGTCGTCAGACCTAGGATGCAGCTCTTGTTGCTGTTCCACGGCTCTTTCTTGGCGCAGCCGTCAGCGCCACGTTGCATTAACCAACGGATATGTGTCAAAACTAGGGCCACCCAACATGGTTGGCTTCTTTTGTGCGCTTTCCCAGAATGGGGGGTGGGACCCTAGTTTGACAGCAAACCCACCTGCTGCCGCTGCGGGCACTACTCACAGGATGCGCTCGCCATACTTTTCAATCGCGTGCTCGTTCAATGTGAGGCCCAAACCTGACGCAACCCATTCCGAATCGATTCCTGTACGAATGGCCGTGGAAGGTTTCGATGAGTCGAATATGAGTCGAATGAGCCATTAACACCTAATCCACTCCCCCTAATCAAATAGGTCCTTTTTTTCACGAAAAAAAGGCCTTCCAAAATCACAATTTAGAGTAGGCCAAATCTAGTTCAATACTTAACAAGCGATTGGCGCATTAGGGAGCCCCCGGAGAAGGGGGGAGCCTATCTGAGGACAGAAGAGGATCGAACAGGAACGTGGGGACCCGCAAAATACAATCGTTTCGTTTCCCGCAGGGATTGTGTTTTTCTAGGGGCAACGGATTGCTTGGCTGCCGTCTCTCGCCCAAATTCAAAGAGCGACGACCTCCCCAAGAGCCGCTGCCTGGCGCTGAGCCCAACTTCATCACGCCCTGACGGATCTCGGGAGCATCCTGACTCGAGGCCAGACGCGTGCGCTTCCTGCGCACTCTCAACAGAGCCTTCACAAGGTGTTTCTAGAAGAGGGTGTTTTTGGAGTGCCAAAATCAGTTTACTTCAGATCAGCTTGATGGCAGCTGGCACAAGCAGCGCCGAAGAAAAACATCGAGATGATGCACCTCGTAGAGCTCTGCTTGAAGCGGATCTCGCTCCGGGTCCGTGAATGCCTGACCGACTCGGATGGGCTCCTGCTTTGAAAGGAATCTACATCGGTTCAAAGCAAACAACCGCCTTCTCCCCGCCTAGCCACCAAGCCCCAAGCCCGGGCCTCCACAATGAGCCCAGCAGGCGACGAGGCCACCAACTGGGCGTGGATGAAGCAGTCGTGGTGCGGCGCGACCTCCGCGGCTCAAAACAAAGTGGGCCAGAGTATCAGTTAAGCCAGGGCTAGGGCTAGGAAGCAACGAAAACCTTCGACCAGTCCAAATGAGTGCTTTAGCCTGGCTATGTGACAACCCTAGTGGCCTGCTTCGGAGGGGTGCTGGGATGCCGGTGATGCTGGGTGCAGAAGTCAAGGATGCAAATGATGCGAGGAACACAGAAAATGCAAGGTATGCGGGTGATGCAAGATGCAAATTGATGCTTGCTGGGGCGCTGCAAACTCCCCCTACTTGCCTGGACATGGTTGAGCTCGCAGAGTGCTGTCAGCTTCCGGCCCTCGGTGAAGCCCCCGTACATGGTGGCGTCGAACTGGAGGATGGAAATGGCCTATACGCTTCAGGACGCGGATGATTTGGCAAGTCTGGAAATTCCTTGGCGATTGCAGTAGTGACCCTGTTGGTCGCTGAATGCTCTGAGATGCCCAGTAATTACGTTTGGGCTACCGCTGCCAATGACTGCGCGTTTAAAACCCACTTGCTCGTTTGTTTGCTGCAAAATCCGGCGAAGGAGGGGGGGATCCTACAAGGAAAGACACGGCGATCCAAATCCCCTGCATCCCTGCTTAGTGCCCCGGAGTTTTTTGGGGTGGCCTGCAACAACACAAAACAAGGCGACGTGCCAACCACTGAAATTCATTGCTCCGCACAGCTCCCACTGCCTGCTCCTCCAGAAGGGCCCGGCATCCATAACTGGTGAACTCGCCTCGGCAGTACACAAAACTGTTTGTTTGATAGCGAGTGGTTGTATCTCCATCTTCTTAGGGGATGACAGTCATGGTATTGTGAAGCCTCTTAGCCTTTGACCCTGATGCAACAAAACGCAAAACTCCTTCGCATTGGTGAAGCTAGAATCAAACGACGCTGGCTTGTTGGTGGATACCGGCGAGCCGGCCATGTGTGGTGTCACAGCTTGCAAATTCTGGTTTGATGGCAGCATGTTGCTGCGTCGAAGGAACGCCAAAGAGAACCATGCGGAAGGCAAAAAAGCCTCTGCCAAGTAGCTCTCACCGCCAGAAAGAGGGATGGTCGTGCGCTGCGCCAGCAGCTTTAAAAGTCGCCGATCGTCCTCCCATGCTACCTGAGATGCCAACAAGAAGGAATGCAACTTGGCCGAACATGGCGTACCTCTGGCGGGGAGGTTACGGACGCAAGCACCTGTAAGAAAGTTTAAGGCACTGTTCAAACATCAACTCATTCAGGCTTCCAAAACAAATGGTCCATGGTCAAAATGGTCCATGGTCTGGTGAAACCAATCTTGCCTAGCCCCTTTTGAAACCGAGTTGCGGGCTCTTCCAGCCATCGGGGCTTGAATGCCTGGAAAACCACGAAAAGCAGCAGTCCCAAAGGCCCCGAGCGAAGTTTGTCGAAAAGTTCACGAAGACTCCAGGGTCAATAAGATCAATACACATGTTCACACTCTTGCGAGTACCCGTCCAAATTATTTGCAATACTGCTTCCTCAACTCTGCTGTCAACCGCTTTCCTGGGGCCTTCTCCCTCCCTTGTCATGAGCTTGGCCGAGTGGTGTTGCCCCGTAGCAGCAAGTTTCCCGGGGCAAGATAATGAAAGCGCCACGGCCTCTAAAAGCTTGACGCCTTCACACGCGGTCTTGAAATCCCAGGCGCGGTTTACGTCCACCATGAGATCCTTGCATGTTCAAGTGGTCTCGTGGTGGAGGGGGGTCTTTAAAAAAGTCACAAACAGACAGGCAGGCACAAACAGCCAGGCAGGCAAACAGCCAAAAAGGCAGACAGACAGGCAGACCTGTCTCCAGGGTTGCAAGACACTTGGACTGATCCTTGCTCTGTGGTTAGTTCCTGTGTTGGTCTCCTGTCAAAGCTAAGACTGCGTCCCAAACCTTTCGACCCATACTCCAAGAATGCAAGCGGTCCATGGCTCCTTGTCATCGCCAATGACCTCACGGATGATGCGAAGTCGCTCCATGTCTTCTTTCAAGGAAAGGCCGCCAATCTTGACTTTAAAACCTGCCGCAGCTCTCTCCCTCTCCCTCCCTCTCTCTCGCTCTCTCTCTCTCTCTCTCTCTCTCTCTCTCTCTCTATTTCTCCTCTCGCTCATTCTCACAAGGACTTCACCGTTCATTGGAGTAACAACCGACTCTCTATGTGCTCTGTCTTCTTCCTAACTTCAAAACTCCGAACAGGAACCACTCGAAGCCGATGTGCGAGCGACTTGAACCAGAGCCCTTCGCCTCGGTGGCCTTGATCAACCATCATCTGCAAGTCGTCGCGCAGCTCCTGCTCGTCCTTCCCTTCCCTGTCGATGGCTGTGCGTCGCACCAAACCCATGATGATGACCCCACAGTGGGAAAAGAATACATAATATTCGTACATATGTATGTGAACTCTATATTTCTATACATGCACCACACATGTCACCCCACGTCTCATGCATCCACACTGCATTGCAAAACTTGCTAACATGTGAAGAAACATCAAGCCAAATCGCTGGAAGGTTCTATTTGGGCGTGCTGACGACGAAACCTTGCATGACGTTGCTTCTGGATTAAGATTGGAATTCAGGATTGAAAGATATTAGATTCCTGGGCAATCGTCAATCTCAATCCAGCAAACATGAAACTTTGTTTGGAGGGTATGTTCAAATCCTAGTTTTCCAGAAGAAAAAGAAACATGCTCGACAATGTTCATTGGGATTGATGGGTTGATGGGCTTGTTTGTTCAGGGCCAACAATAGTGCGATGAAGCCGGTTCCTCTAAGACCTGGGCATTCAAGGGCATTGAACATGAGTTGCCTCGGCCATTGAGAGGCGTCCCAACATGCAGGAAAAGTCCTAGCAGCTACTCGCATGTCACCAGTGACTCCAGGCGGTTCCGAAACATGTTGGCCCAAAGCTCCCTTCAAAACTTTACTAAGCAGCGTCAAAAAGGGTTGCGTTGGCTCTGCAAAGATGGTTGAAAGGGTTGTGTAGGCCGTATTGTGATCCGCATCAAACCACCTAATACAGCAAATGGCCAACCCGAATCAGAATGCGGTCAAAAGTACAACCCCCAGGCCCCCCCTCCGGCCGGTAGTAACCGCAGGTGGCATAGCACTCCACCTCTTCTTTGAAGCCTCCGAACAGCCTGGGTGCGATTGAGATGCGGCTGAGATGCAATTCTGGTGCCACACCTTCAATCGGAAAGAGATGAGCTTGCACTCTTCATGCTTGACGCCGTACGCGTACATTCAATGGTCGCTGAGGGGCTTGTACAAGGGCAGGTTGGCAGCCTCTCACGCTCAGAAAAAGCAAGCTGCCGGCGTGATGTGAAGAGTGAAGCAAGCAAATGCTGACAAAAGAACACACAGGCAAAGCAATAGATCGTGCAAGCAAGCTGACATAGAGAGAAATAGCAACGCAGTTGGTTGGCCATATTCCCAGCTAACTGTTGTGCATTCTTCGACTGTTTCTTCCAGGTCTCTCAGGGGATGACCACCCCATGTGGCTTGCCTTCCGTGCAAAACGCGTCATCACAATCCGCGCAATGTTGGTTGACATCATTTGCATGACTCTGTCCACCACTTTCCAGGGTCCAACACCCCCTTCACCGCCGGCTCGAAGCGGCGCCTTGCCCACAATGTCCCAGCACGCCAGGTCCACCGCCGCGCTGAGGCGAATCATGGCCTCCCTGGACCAGCCCTTCTCGCTGGCCACCTGGGGCGACCAAAATGGCGCAGGCCCCTTTTTGGGGCCAAAAGGGCTGCCTAAACGGCTGCCTAAAGGGTTTGGGGCCTTTTTCCCGGTTTTTGCTCGTTTTGGCCGCATCCCCAGCATCACCCTCACTTGGACCTAGGGCTGCCTATTTCTGATTTGGTGGCGGTTGGGACTTGCTCAGGCTGGTTGAACTATGGTGGGTTGTGAGGCAGCTTCAATCTTCATGAGGCCGGTCTTGGGTTGTCTAGGGGTTCAGTTAGGCTTGGCGAAGGGCTGATATCCAGGCTGTTGGGCAGGCTTGGGCTGGCACAACCTCCTACAGCAACCCTAAAGCCGTTGCTACACTAGCTGCAAAAACCAGCACCAAGCAACATACCAGCATACAAGCTTAGGCTTCCCACCTTGTTGGCAGTGAGTCTGAACATCTTCTGGTACAAGTTCTCCGGGCGCAGAGCGTCCTCCCCCAGGATGAGGTCCCCTAGGCCCGTCTGCCACGGCTTCACCAGGGGGTCAATGGCCTTGGACCCGGCGCTTGGCACGCACGCGCCGCCATAGCAAAAGCCCCCCCCCCCCTCCCGCCTTCGCGTTGATCTTCTTCGGAAAAACATGGGGAGACACGCCAAGAGTTGAGTCCTTTTTGGCGCCTTTGGTCTCCAAAAACGAAAAACCGGGCGCCGTATTTGTTTAACAAGAACTGTTGCCGGGTGTCGAATGCCCGCTCAAAGCACTGGGGCCGCATGTTTGATGGTGGTTTTGGATCATGACGCCAAATCGCTTGCCAGCTTTTCACCTCGAATGGGAGCCAGTCCAGCTCTGCCATACCGAGCCCTCTTGCCCAATTGAGTCAAATCACAGCGTGTGTACACATAAACTTGCAGACATGACCCAAACTCGCAAATCCCCCTCCAGCTCAGCTCCGCCGAAAGGCCGAATAGCTGCTTGCAAGCCCGAAGCCCTGGAGGCCCCCATCTGTGCTCAGCCGCACCAGGATCTGAGAGGCAAAGCCGACTTTGGACACGACACATCTGGCATGAACCACATCTGAGAATCCAAATTGAGGGCTCTGGGCTGGCAGGAGCAAGGGGGAAATCCCCGGACCTCCTCCTCTCCAACTTTCAACCGTCGACATCCAAAGTCCCATGGCACTGCAACTGCATCCTCTCAGATTCGCTTGCAAACCCATTCCTGTGCCTCATTGCCAGGTGGTACCGGGAAGAAGGCCGTCCAATGCGGCCGTGGCAGCTTTGGCCCACGCAATGCAAAGACCTGCGTTTAGTCAGGGAACCCTTGTTGGGCCCTGATGTCCTCTGACCTGATTAACCGTCAGAAAGACAATATGGCTTCATCAACTAGTTGCACTGGCGGATCTGTGCTCGTGCGGGGAATTTGTGCTCGTCACGTGGGACTGCTGTGAAAAGCTGCCAAGGGCCCCAAAATTCCCCATTCTCTCAAAGGGGACTTTCAAACGAACTCGCTTGCAAGATATTAGGCCCTGTTGGGCGTGAGGTTCCGGCCCCAACATCATTGCAAGTTGCTGGCATGCGCCAATGTGAATTCGAGGCACTGAAGCCGAGAGTGGTACATTGCAATCCGGGGGCTCCAAATGGGGTTCCTTTTGGAGCCGTTTGTCAAAAGACGCGCTTGTGGTGGTGGTGCTTGAGCTGACATATATATATATATATATATATATTTCTATAGCAAAAGTAGTTTGTGCCAAGTCTTGAAAGGGACAGCTCAGAGCTCCTACAGCCCCTATGCACTTCTACCGCCCCAACCCGTTAACCCTGTTGGAGGAGCCTTCGCATTCGGATTTGGAACCTCCTCCCGTTTATGAACAGTTTCTAAGCCAGCCGACCAGCTGCAAACACCCCCCACCCCTGCTCCAAGCGAGCCTGCAGACTGGTGATCCGCTGCATTGCGTCTGAGCCCAAAGGGCCACGGGCCACAGCAGGCAGCAGAAGGCGGCTGAGGCAGAGGCGAGTGCCCGGATGTCAGGACCCAAATGTCTGGTCTCAAAGTCCCAAAGTCCCCAAGTCCCGCCGCCCTGTCCTTCAGGAGGGGCAGAATGAGCTTGGCCGCGTCCTTCTGCTTCTGCAGGCGGGCTTGCTCCTTGCCGCGCCAGCCGGCAGAAAGTGGTTCTGCTTGGGCGCCTCTTTTTTGGAGGGTGCTCCTGCCCACTCTGAGGTTGGTGGCAGGGAAAACCTGAGGGAAAGCAAACATGGTGAGACACCTGTTCGGAGAACCAGGCGCATTGGAGCTTTCAGGTGCCCCGTCTAGGCAATTTCCCTGTGCGCTCGACAAGCCTCCTTAAATATAAGCTTGGAGCTCACAAACTCTCTCCTGCTCTTCCCAGGGAAAGGTTCATATTGAGAAAACAGAGTGCAGCAGTTTATGGAAAAAGAACGACAACGGCGAAATTGGAACACTTCCCACCACCACCACCACCTTTTCAGGCCAAAGGAATACACATCTGTTTTGCCTACGTGCACCCACATGGAAGTAAACTACAGTCCTTGTTCGAGGAGCAGTCCTCCAATCGCGCTGCCTGGCGTCGCCAGCAGGAGGAACTGAACACCACACACCCCACTCTGCCAGCTAAGCCCCAACAATTTTGAAGCAAACATGATCTGCAGGGAAAAAACTGTGAACAATGAGCATCACATGCTGGCCAGCAACAGCGAGGAAGTGCCGGACACCATATCGTTCCATCGTCACAACATGTTCACACAAAAGAATCCAGAAGATTTGTTGTATGCCCAGCCGCGAAAGTCAGTGCATGACAGCCTGTACAAACAAACCAGCTTGTGACGCCCTGCTTTCAGAAATTCAAACATGCCAAAACCGCATGGGACGTAGCATGTCAAGATGTCGGTGTTCAAGCACTAGCTTGCACGTACTATGTCTCAATCCCCATGGGACGCACTAGGATGTGCAACTGGGAGAGGCATCAAGTGGAAGCACCGGAACAAACAAATCTCCCGTGCATTCTGGCATTGTCAGCATGGGATGCTGAGAAAATTGGCAGGCCGAGTAGCTAGGCTGCTTCACCGGCATCATCCGCAGTGCCAGAATTGTGCTTCTGTGCGTCGCCGACATCATCTGCATTGGAATTTTGAACATGTCTAACATCTTCAACCACCCCTAGCTCTAGATGATATTGCTTGGTTCTCTACGGATGGGTCTTCCTCCAGAACCTGCATCATGGATGTGGTCTGTGTCTCATCCGGCGATTGGCAGTTAGATCCGCAAACAAGTGTTTTGCTCCGAATTCGCAACAGTGACACGCCCGGTTGCTCAAACATCCCGCATCATTGCATATACTGAAGTCGTTTTGGAAGGCGCGACTGCACTGGCTTTGATCTTGCTTTGTTCTGTGCGGTTTCCGGACATGTGCAACCAGCGAATGTCTTTGCGCGGGTCCCCAACGAAGGCATACTCATGGATTGGAACATGGTGTCTGTCCCTGTTTCCGGAGATGTCAATTAATTTTCTCCAAACAAGCCCAACATAGTTGTCCTTTCATGGAATCTCGCAGTCGTTTGCTCTTTAGACACATCCTGAATATTGCAGTTCCTCTTGTGCTTCCAAGCAGTCTGCTTTTACGTGCGCGAGACAATAGTAGCAGTGGCATTGCCGTTGTGTTGGTCATTGGATTTGCATGCTTTGCTCCTTGGATGGTCGTGGCCTTTGGGCGCGCGCTCCTTTGCAAAGAGCAGTTTCTTCTCCTAGCATAGGGAGCTCAACGTGGGCTTGTCTCCGCGTGGAGCACAATTGCTCGGCAAGCCCACCGAGAGCCGCCAATGGGGGCATGCTGCACGGGGGTCTTGGGACGGTTGGTTCTCTGCATCATCAGCATCCAGTGACTGAAGGCCGCATTGCGAAACAGCTGAAAAACCTCACTTCTTTGGGTAGTACTCTCAGCTTTCTGAGCATCACAGGAAGGCGTCCATGTTCAGCTCACGTTGTGGGACTATCTGGCTGCATCACCAGCATCGGGCAGTTCGCCCCTTCGTCTGCCCGTATCAACAATGTTTCGCACCGTCCTGGCAATAGCACCAAAACAACCTTTGCTACAGCGCGAAATACGTTTACCAACTTCCTGTCTCCCTTTCCTCCCCGCCTCGATAATGTGCAGCTCAACCGGCCTTGGAAACCGATTAACATGACGCCTGCTTTGAATGAAAGAACTGGCTGCCATGACAAAATTCACAAAGGTCCAGATTTAGCTACAAATCACAAACACAAACACATACTCTGGCTTGCCACTATGTATTCCTTCACGTGTCGCACTAGCTTGGGCTGTTTGTTTGTGCCTTGAGTGTGTGTGTGTGTGCGTCTGTGTGTTCGCCTGCGTCGTGTTGCGCTGCGAAACTCTCTCTTCCTCGTGTCAAGCTTGAGACACCGCACGTTTCTGGGAGAAGCCAAGGTAGCAAAGCTGGTGGTCCTTCATGATCCATCCCCGGGTTCCATCAGCTTGGGTCCTTCCCAAACAAACAAACCCATGGCTTAAAAAGAGGAAACGCCGTTGAGTTTGGCCGGGCCCTGAGCTCGAGGGAGACCAGGCCCATGGTGAGCCCAGCAGCCAACGCAGCCTCGGCCGCCGTCTTCCGGTTTCAAACGAAAACGGTTGAACCCCAAGACAAAACAAAAAGGCAAGATGGCACACGCCCTACACCCCAGGGCGCGCAGTTCTTTGTGTGATTTGCTTGTTGTTATCAAGTTGTTTGCAGTTTGGAGATTGCAAGATAGCTAGAAAGCTGGGCACATGGTAAAATAAAAGTTCAAAGCTACGATGGACAAATGATAGGATTTTTTGGGAAGCGCATATAGTTCACACCTACTAGAAACCAGATAGAAGCATACAGGAACTAACTGCTGGAAACACATGACACATACTCTAGGAGTGCTAGGCAAATGGCAAGCATGTTCAAAAAATGCACGGACCACGCTAAGCACAAAAAGAAGTCCCTCAACACGCGTCGACGCGCTCGGTGTTATACCCGGGTTGCCGACAATCCTTACGCTGCCCCATCCAGGTCATCTGTCTACCGCAGCACCTAACCCAAGCATCTTTGGCGCTCAAGTAGCAGATCGCGCAGCCACACTTGGCCAGCGCCATCGGCACGAAAACCAGACTAGAACGCTCGTGTTGTTTTTCCCTCCCGCTCGGCGGTTCGCACGCGCCTGCCAAGTAAAAGCACGCCCCTCGAGCGCCCCCCTGGGAGCGCAGCGCAGACGCCGTCCACGTGAAAAGCGCAAGATAACACACACGCGCGCCCGCGCAGTAAGGCACACATGCCTGCCACATGGTAGGAACACCTGCTCAAGCGCGCCCGCTCAGCACTGCGCACACGCTTGACAAATGGTAAGCGAAGCCGTTAAAACGCCCCCGCTGAGCGCTGCACACGCGCCTGCCATATTCGAAAAGGCAGAGGGCAGAAAGGGCTGATTAAACTTGCGTTTCGCCTAAGCCGCTTTCCGGGCCGGCGGGAAGTTTAAGGTTTAGGCTTCATTTAGGGTTTAGGTTTTGATCTTAAATTCAGATTTTGGTTCTTTAAGGTTTGGGTGTGTTGACTTTTGCTTAGGTTCAGGTTTAGGGTTTCAGCGTTGGTTTAGGGCTTAGTTTCGGGGTTCGTCTTATGGTATAGGTTTTGGTTTAGGGTTTCGGCATTGGTTTAGGGCTTAGTTTCGGGGTTCGGCTTCGGGTATAGGTTTCGGTTTAGGGCTTAGGTTTAAGGTTTCTGGCTTGGGTTTGGGGTTTAGTTCAGGGTTAGGGGTTGGGTTTAAGGCGTCCGGTTCGAGGCGTGGGGCCTGGCCACTTACAAATGTGTGGAGCAACGGAATCAGACAAAATATCAGTCTTTGAGAACTTTGGCTGCAAATATCCGTCTATGAACATTGCCAAGTAGCAATACTGTAGTTTAAAGCGTAACATGTGTGACAATGCGCTCTCACCATTCAATCCTGGCTTGTTTCAAGTGGTACTTAACAACGCTCCCGAAAAACCTCGGAGTGCCATCCGCACGGCCCTTGGGACCCGCTTGGCTGCTGAGAGGAAAGCGCGGTTGGGTTCTGGGAGCCGGACCATCAGGATGCAGGTGGCTGAAGCGATCACCTCTCAAACTTCAGCTCGAGACCATAGAATGCAGAACTTGCCGTGGCCCCTGCTCCAAAGCCCTTGAAATTCGGCTCCAAGGCGCATGGATGAAGACCTTGAGCCGCTCCTGCTCTGCCTTGCGACTCTCCTGCGCGGCGCTAGGATGGGCTGCCGAGGCTGGCATTCACTCTGTTAGGACATCCCCCTTTGTAAGGAGCGCCCGCCGGATCACCTTGGAATATTCGCTTTCAACAGAGAAGTCTCAAAACCCTGGGCGCGATGGCCACCTTTTTCCACGAGTTCTGTCCCTTTGCAAAAACGGCTCTTTGTCTTGAGGGAACCAACCTGAGTCGATGTCCTCTTGATGCTTCCTAAACTAGCACATCCACCATGCCAGAAGTTCCCCATGTTGGGAGGCGCGTCCGCTCCTCCAGTGCGCTGAGGCATCTCGGTACATTCCGCCAGCGGCCGAAGGATGGGCCTCGTTTTGGATCATGAATCTGCGGGTAAAAACTGTCCTACTTGCCAGCTGTCCAGCTTTTCTAAAAAGCTCCGGCACCAATGTACGACTTCAAGGCAGCTTAGAGTATCCAACAAGCTTGGGATGTGTCCAGGGAGCATTTTCCGAGTGGTCAACCATGGATAGGAACACAAGAGTAACCTCCCACGTTCTACACGTACTTCCACCGTTTGTTTCCAGGGAATCCTTCGTTTCATTGCGATAGTTCCTCAAAAGAACAGTAGGTGAAAAGAATGGGGGACTTCTGACTGGTCCAATCCACAAGCTGAGTGTGTCCTGAAACCAGCCTTCTTTTTCTACAAGTTCAAGGCACACCAATCACTTGTATGCACAATACACCGCAGGTGCGTAAACCAAGGTACGCCAACCGTGTCTTCTGGGACTCGGGCAGCTGATGGTGGTGGCCTGCTCTGTACCGCCCCACCTTGCCAATGCCACATCCAGAGCATCCCTTTTGGACTCGGTTCCATGTTAGGTGCCCGCTGCGCAAAGCCTTGGTTGGACCACATTTTGTGCACCAAGAGTCACTGAGCAGTTGGACGGTTCGATTCCAAGTGTTTCACACAAACCACAAAGGTTCCTCGCTCTGCAGACCTAGCCGAGTCCAATGGTGAATATTCCGGAAAAAAGGGGCAGCATGTAGATGTTCATGACGGTACAAACCCCTTCTGGAGAACCATCTGTCTTAGTAAACAAGTAGCTCAATTCCCTTGCAACCATGGTCATGCCCTACTTGCCAGGTGGATATGCTGAAACAAGTTGGTTGCCCCCCTTTGGATAGGACAAACCCGACAAGACAAGCACTTGAAGTGGTCTTTGCAGGCCTGTCATTTTGAGCTGTAATCTGAAGGGGTCTCCAACAAAGGTCTCAACCCATTCAACCCATGAGTGTGTCAATAGACAAAGGACCCTCAAACAATGAGCCACGGTCAATCACGTGCCCCAAGATGATTGAGTCCGTAGATAGCGGGGGATTCGTTTGCCCCCGCCCGAACGAACAGTCCTTTCGGGCTGTCTCATGCAGCAAACAGCTTCCAGACAGCCTGACCCACCGCTCAGGTCCCCAGGTGCGTTTGCATTGTCCAAGTTTGCCTTCCATCCCTAAGGCCCCGACACAAAGGCGCCCTGCTTGCACTCCAGGGTGTACTCCTCAGCTCAGACCCCCGACGAGTGGTATGGGTCTGCAGGCAAACCGTTGGATTGGTAGGGTCCGGCCGAATCAGAAGTTGGAATAATGGGGGGAAGCACTGGATGGGCTTTTGTGGCGACATTCGTGTCCTCGATTCAGAACATTCCGGAAATATTATCAGTTGCTCAAAACAAAATGCGGGGAAGGTATGCGCTTTTGTGGCGACATTCGTGTCCTCGATTCAGAACATTCCGGAAATGTTATCAGTTGCTCAAAACAAAATGCGGGGGAGGTATGGGCTTTTGTGGCGACATTCGTGTCCTCGATTCAGAACATTCCGGAAATACTATCAGTTGCTCAAAACAAAATGCGGGGGAGGTATGGGCTTTTGTGGCGACATTCGTGTCCTCGATTCAGAACATTCCGGAAATACTATCAGTTGCTCAAAACAAAATGCGGGGGAGATATGGGGCAGCCGCCAACAAACCTCGTCAATTAGATCAGATGCGAATCTTGACAGGGTCTGTTCCTACTTAAACACAAGCACTCTTCGAGCATCAGGGCGTGAACTCAGAAAGCACAGCACTCCGTTTGACAAAAGGGGCACGTTCAACCATTTTGTATGATTCTAGCACAAAGGAAGACCACCAACCGGTTGAGGAAAGACCCGTCAGCCCTTTCAGAACAAGGTGACAAGGGCGATGTCCGTTTTGCGGGGCCCCTCACTTGGAACGCGTTTTCAGGGAAGCCAAAAAGCAACCAATCCCACGTGCAGCAGCCGGGCTTCCCTGCGCCCAGGTAGGCATGGCTGCCCTGCCACACGCCGAAAGGGTCCTGGAAAGCGAGCCACGACCCGAGCTCCGCCGACACGGCAAGCCGCGCCCACGCTGCATGTGCCTTGCCACGTTTGCCACGTTTGCCATGTTCCCAAAGCACCTCAAACTGCATGCACTGCATGGTTGGTGTCACACATCCACTCGACGGCGCGTGTCACGCCTCTAAGGGACCACAGTCGGAAGCCACACAGCTCTCGCCATCGTCCATGTAGCCTTGCTCACAGCCTCAGATGACATTCCAGGAAACTGCGCTGAAGAGTGCCAACTTAGCTTGGCACTACAGCGGAAGGAGCTGTTGCCAGTGTCGAAGGTGTTCTGGTACTGTTTCCTCAGGCAAAGATCGGTCAAAACCAGTGACCCCATGTTGGACAACTTCTCAAGATGAAACATTTGAAGATTTGGGGGGGCCTCGATTCCGATTTTCACATATTCCCCAAAGGGCACTGCTGGACATGCTCATAAGGCGCTGGCAAGTGCACGCACACCCCGTGAGAGCCACAGTTCCGTCCGCCGCAATCAGTGTTGCCCTTGAAGTGGCAAACGACCTGGCCAAGGTGCTGGAACAAAGCACAGAAGCTGACAAGCTGGAAAATGGGATTCTCTCCAAAGGCAGGGTTCCCGAATGGGTGTTCGAAGCGAAGCCAAAAAGAAGAACCCTATCCTGCAGAGGTCTCCGAGTGCGCTTGAAAGGGCACCCACACAAATGCCACGATACATGGGAATGAATGTGAATTGTGAAGGGTGCGGATTATCATTGACATTGGTACTTGTGTCCACCAATCACTTTGAAAGGCCCACCCTAAAGTTCACTCGCTCTCCTTTGTTTCGACCACGCCTCTCCGTTGCTGGCAATGTCACGACGGGCTCCACGCTCGCAGACGCACTCCACACCTGAGAGTCGTCTCCGGGCTTTCTTTATCAACGCGGAAACCTGTCCCCTGAAAGGGAAACCTCCCATGTAGCCGCCCAAGATGGCGCAACCGGTGTGAGGCCGCCACCGTCTTGCAAGTCATTGCAGAGACCAGCGGGTCCACACCTCACCGATTTGAAGCCGATGTTGTGTTTTCCTTGAATTGGACCTATAAATGTCATGCGTGGCACCCCAAGGGGCTTGTTCGGCTGGCGACTGTTGGAGTCCTGTGTCTGTCTGCGCTTGTTTGCACCTTGGCCTCAGCCTGTATAGCTAGTTTCCACAGCAATCAAATGGCAACCTGGAATCACGGGGCATGCGGCGATGCTGACCATGACCATGAAGAGCCAAGAATGTGTGTTCTTAAATGTGTGCAGAATTCGGACGTCTTGCTAGAGAGCTGCTGCTTGGGGCTGCCGGGACTGCTTGGAGATGTGTGGGACCCACAGATCATGTTCACAAGTCTTGCGTTAGCGATCAAATACAGGGCATGTGTCTAAGGTCAGCGGCACAGGGCCGTCCTGCCACCTTCAATTCGGCGACATCCAAGAGCTCTGCACCAGCTGGGCCCGGTCTCCACAGAAAGCGAGTGTGGGTCTCCGGCCAGCCAGGCACGGTTTCGCTACGCGGCATGGCACGCGAGTCCACACAAACAAAGGACTTTCTCACTTGCAGCCTGTAGACAAAAGCACGAGCAAACCGCACAGGGGATCAACACCGCCTCTGATCGACATCCAGGCATATGTTATATCGCGGCGCTGGCAGTTTGCCAAGTGGTGATCAAATGTTCATTCATGTGTCCTGCTTTAATTTGCAACACTCTGCCCAACTCATCATCCAAAGCCAGCTGATGTAGCTACCAGTCTGCATCCGCATCACTCAGGTTCCGGCCCGTACAGCAGCAGCGCGCAATCATCGATATCTTCACACCTCATCGGCCAACTACTTGGTTTGTCGCCTGACTTCAAACGAACTCTGGGGTGGGTTACTTCATCCTCGATGGATGTAGTCCGCTTGCTGAGATGGCACCCTTCCACCGAGCTGTTCGGTTGGCGTGGGGCGAAGTCTGATTTCAGCAACCGTGCAAAGTAGCCATACAATGCAAGCACTGGAGCATGCTTCTATCACTGGCCAGGTGCTCCCCTGTGCCAAAACACCAACTCCTCCTCTGCTTCAGGGAAGCCATCTACAAAGACAATTTCACATCTCATCTCTGTCTCTAAAGGGTGTTGGGCACTCAACTGGCCGCGCTTCCAAGGCACCAAGGCTTTGCTGGCCACTCGGCGCTGCTGGAGCACGTCATGTTCATCTGGCGCGAAAAGAACAGGAATCGGAAGCAAATGAGGGACACCCTTTGCCATGGTGCCGTACGATTAGACACGCCCAAATGGATTGGGAAATTTTGGAATACGGCAACTGTGGGACCCGCTTTGAAGGAGCTCTCCCACTCTTGGGCGCCAAGACAGCGGGAAAGCCAATCCTGAGGGCGAAAAGTGCATCCGGCACAATCGGCCTGAGGCTTGCCATCGACGGCGAAACCGCCGTCGCACGTCAACACCTGAGCCGCCCACCAAGCAACATCACCACAAGTCGACACACGGATTTCTGCCTGTGGATGAGAGTCGAAGACCTTGCACAACGCGCGCCTTCCCTTGCTTCCAGTGACTAGACAGCTATTTGACACGTGATCCGTCAAAACCCCTTGTTGACGGGATCCTTGACCATCCCCAGCCCTTAGCAACCAGGTCTCTTGACCATGGACATGTCAGCGACTCCGCCCCAAAAACCATCCGACAAGCTGAACAGGCTCTGCACTGCTCTGCAGCCCCAAAGCACCTTGCTGTCAAAGTGAGGGGCCGGCATAGGTGCCGCCAGGCTCCAGCGAGCCCTCCCAGTGACCGTGCTTGTCCTTGGTGTCAAGCAAACCTGCAAAATGTGTGGTCCTGCAAAATTATTGCGGGTGGCTATTGGAAGGGCCCTCCCTCCATAAATCAGGCTCCAGGATTCCAGCTCAAAGGGTCAACGACCTCCCTGCTCCCAGCAAGGCGCCCGAAACTCTCGTCAATTAGCGCAGTAGGCGGCTCTACGTACTTCCCTGGTGGAAAGGGATGTGAGCCGAATAAACCGGAGAACATGGTTTGCAAATGGGTTCATACAATCAGCTCGCATGTCCTCACCAGGTGTCCGGCTGACAGCACCTCACAACGTTTCTCCTGACATGCCGATGCTTCTCCCGTGGCATGTGCGAACCCTTAGACTGAGCCCTATGTGGGCCCTGTACTTCCGCTCAGGAACCACTCTTGGGAGTCTCATATTTTCGCAAACGCCCATTCAAAGGGGTCCCGGAACCTAACACCCTTGCGACAGTTGACGATGAATACTTGACCATTGCCCATACCAGGAACTCCGTCCTCAGATTCAAAAGCAACTCAGCCTGATGTTTTCTCGAGCATCCTGGTTTCCCGTTCAACACCCCGTAAAAGGAATTAATTTCCCTATTTCAGAGAATCTCCACATAGATTGTCGCTTCAATTCGCGACTTCCTGCCTCATGTGCTGCCGACTCGTTGGTGTTGGTGTGGTTCACCTGCCGCCATTGCCGAGAAAGGCCAACATCAGAGGGGCTGATTTTTTGACTAGACCAAATCGGCCAGCGAGCCACAAATCCACTTTGAAAGTCCGCCATGTGGGATGCAGTGCCATGCTCGTTGCTAGGGTTCTCACAGGACTGCTTGGGCGATGGTGCGGCTGGTTGGGTCCAAGTTCTCGGCGCTTTGCTCATGTTCCCTGTGATGTCATCTGACATTACTCACTGACTATGAACACTTCCCACTTTAAGCAGCCTTATAAAAGGAGCACACAGAGAGAACAGGCTGCGACTGGCACGTGCCAGCGTTGAGATAAGTTTTAGCCTTGACTCCCGGCTCTGGGCAGTTCGGTCGGCTGAAACAAGAGTGCTGTCAGCGAACGACACTCTCCGAACCAGATCGCGTGAACAAAGCAAACGAAAGGGGGAGCACGCTTCCTGGAAAGCCTCCGCCTTCTGCTGGGCAAAGCTCCGCACAACCAAACGGTGGGTCAAGTCACCAACCACGATGCCGCGGACTCGGCCGTTTGGCTTTTGGAGAGCGACCATGCGCCCGAGGCCGAGTGCCCTTGCCGCATCGCAAGGCACCGACGCTTGCGCGACCAGTTGCAGCACGGACGAACTGATCAGAAACCCCCTCATCGTCAAGCAGCTCTTGGGCGACCTTGGCTGTGAGGCCCGAAGGTCCTGGGGCAGCTCCTTCCGAGCGCGGCTCATATGGCTGGGCCGGACGCCTGTCGGGAGCACGGAGCTCCTGCAAAGTCTCCAGGGTGCCTGGGCCAAACGCAAGGCCAGGTGCTACAAGGCAAGGCATCCAACTCAAAAGGTGAAAACGCACGCGCAGGCCAACAGAACTGTCCCCCTGCCACAGCAGCAGTCTGGAGACGAGGTGCGAAGTTTAGGGCGCAGCCAAAGCTGGATGGGTCCAAGGGCTCTGCGCTTTTCTCAATTCAACATGACGCTTCTCATGATGTCATCCAACGCGCCTCCAGCACAGCAGTCCAAACACGATATGCTGTTGTGCGCACCAAACAATTGACTGAGTCTGCAGGGCCCTCACACGAGATGCCACAATCCGCACATATCGAGCGTGGAGGCTATTTTTATGTGTCTCTGATCAGCCCTTTCTCTCAAAAGAGGCGCAACTGACACAAGGTTGCATTTTTGAGGCCACAGTTCAGCATCGGGCGATTGTTTCACCCTGATAGTTTCCTTTTCAGGACAAGGGCCCCCGTCGTGGGAGCCAACTCGGAAACCAAAAACTCCAAAAACACAAAAAAAAGACATGCGGAGGAATGTGAATAGTTCTTGCCCCCGTGTTTACTCGAAGCTTGCTGGGGGTTGCCGCCCCAGGGTTTAGCTGTGTCTCGCCCAAATCAAAGCGCTTATCATCCCCAGCACCAGCCCAGCGCTTTTGATACAGAATGTTCTGTCACCCCTCCAACCCCTCCATGTGTTGGGCATGGGAGAGGCACAAAGGGCCACCTTACACATTGCCTTCAACGTCCGGCATCCGCAGCCAGAGTGACACGCCCACCCTTTTGACAAGCTACCAATGAAGGGTTGACCAGGGCTAAGACGATCCGCACGTACATCCGACGAAAGCAATATACTATAAGCATATCATCAAGACCAGGTGAGCAGCCGCGCAAACCCAAGATGCTGGTTCTACTTACATTCCTACAAAGGTTTTTCGCCACAAGCTTTAAGGAAACCACGAAGTCGAAGGTAGAAAAAGTGGCCAGCGCTCGGTTCGTCGACTTCGGCTCCCAGGCCTCACTCGCGCATACGCCTGGCAAAAGGTCCGAGCCGAACATGCGAGCCTGAGCTATGGGTTTGAGAGGATGCCAAGAGCCAACCCTGTGCCCAGTTCCAAGGTGAAAACCAGTATAAGGAACAATCACGCATAAGCTAGGGACACTAACGACATTCCCCCCGTTCGGCGAGATTACCTGTGCTTGTATCGGAGTTGAGTCCCAGCAAGCACAAGGATCACTTGTTGGAAGACCGTTCATTTGACGGGCTGGCAGAACGTCATCTACTTTCAGTCAGGCTGCAACCTTTGGACAAAAAAGAACGGGCACTACACTTTCTTGAACTACTTACTCACACACGACCCATACAAACGATTCCCCCCCTGTTCCAGGCCTGTCAGCAGCTCCTTGCAGGATGCGCTTCCGCACTTTCGGGCAGAGTGGCTCTGATTCCGTATGAACATGAAACCGCACGGGAAAACAAAAAAGGGCGTGAAAAGCTTCCTGATGGTGGCACACAGACCTTTGCATCCTGGCTCTACAACCTGATCAAGAGATGACTAGTAGCAAACAACTCCGCTCCCAAGGTGCCTGAGCCACATAATCGAGGAGGAAGGCTGAAACAATTCGGCGCCTCACTCGAAAGCGCTTCCCCGAAAAGAACTTGCATGCCGGAAGTACAAGTCTTGACTGCGGTGGATGGAAAGTTGAAGGGAAGGCTTGGGGTGCTTGAAACATCAGGCACCTCTCTGTCCGTCAAAAATTGCAATATGTGCCAATAGTATTCACATCTACTTGCCTGGGGGAACAGACGCAGCTTCTGCCACAGCAAAGTGCCACCGCTGGCCGCAGGACCACAAGCAAATGCATTAGCCTGACGCAAATCATGTGAAGCTAGGTCTTCTCTTTAGCTGTCTCCTGTGTGCTTCCTAAACTAGCGGATCCCTATAGGTGCTCGGTTTTCTGCTGGATTCTTTTGACATCAAGCGAAAGAGGACCCAGTTTCAAGACAAACCTCCTTGCCATCTTCCAAGCTCCGGACAAGATCATCAGTGTGCCAACGAGCCATCAAGGCGATTGTGTGGCATGTCAAGCATTGCCTTCACCCTGCAAGTGCTTTCCGCCCGACGTATGCCGGAGATCGAGCTTGCAAACATGGAATTGTCTGCGAGAGTGGCGTGTGTATATGTGTGAATCTTGTGAAACAAGCGCAAACTGATGTCAAAGCCAACGTGTGTCCTGACATAATGATGCTCTCTTGAGAGTCTCAAGCTTCCATTCGAGTCTGAACCGGGACGGGCGTCACATTATTGGACAAGCTCGCACACACGCACACCCACACGCCCAAACATGATCACATGCACGCACAACTCACACGCGCAATAAATTTACCCACAGGGACACTGTCGGGGATGCTGCCAAACCCAGTCTTTTCAAGCACTTTCGGCTCGGCATCGCTTTCTGCAGTGCCAACGTAACCTGGCCCACAACGGCCTCTTCCCTCACAATAGACTAGCGACTTGGCGATCCTGGACGAACTGTCTGCAGTGCCAACAAGTGCCGCCTAATATATAAACCAATTCGGGATGGTTAACCGTTGTTTTGATTTCAAGACCATTCACAAAAAGGATTCCCTGACTTTCAGTGGGACTTTCCTCAGCAAAACATGCGACCCTGTACATTCTGCATGGGTGGCTTTCCGTTTGGTTTCCAGAAATCGGCGATTCGCTCTCTCCATGGCAGCACGCCGAGGGGGCCTGTCGCGAAGACCCAAGCTGGCTGGTAGAGTGTAGGATGATGAAGCCTCCAGCGCCTGAGTCAAGATGCCGATGCGGCTTGGGAACGTTTGTAGGGATAACTTCAAAGGAACAAATGAAACTATTTTTTTGGAAGGGACCTTGCTTCTGCCACATTCCCATGTGTTTTCGGTTCAGACCGAAGATATTAACAAGTCTACAAGTGGTGGTTGTCCTTGCTTCTCTAGCTGACAATGCTTCTTCAATCTGAAAAATTTGCAGTGTCCATGTCCATCATATGCTCCGCCTCTGGAACATCCGATCGCCTTGAATGCGTGCCTCCGGCAGCTCCCGCCCGCCCAGCAAACCCGCGAGCTCCACTCCTATCTGAAAATGCGAGCAGAAGGGACAGGGCTACGTGTGCGAACCGAAACAGATCTCAACGTGCGCGAAGGAGATGTTTTTTCATCTGCGAATATCGTCAAAGGATGTTCTCCGTGGTTCCCACTCCGCCAAACTCTGTCAACAAAAACGTGTTGAAAACGCTACCGGGAGCACCTCGGTGTCCATTTACCTTGCGAGGATTAAATCTGAAGAAAGGAGCCCTAGTCCAAGTTCAGCGAGTTCTTTCAAAAATCTATGGAATGCGCGAGCTTCCAACTAAGTAAACCTGTCTCCGGCTTTTTCATGATAGGCCTGAACCGCCTACAGGCCTACCGATCTGAGGGCATCCTGGAAAGCAGGCGCAAAAGCATCATACCTACCTGTTAAACAGCCTCTCGGGCTGCGGTAAACACTGCAACGATGCCAGAGACACTTGCAGAGGCTCAAGCCTCCTGTCGTGCATCATGATCCTGTGTGTTGTGTTCCCGTTTTGCCCACGGCGTTGCCAAAACTGCACGAGGCATGCTTTGCCATCACCACCATCAGTGACACCGTTCGCACGTTTGCAGCATGCCTTGCAATTCTCATGCTGGGGTCGCAAATGTAAGAAAGTAGAGCAGAATGAAATGACTCTTGAAACATTCCAAATGGGAAGCTTTGCGTTCAGCTCTGTGTTTCTCTGCTGCCCGTGCTGTTCACCCTTAGTTGAGCTGAAGGGCCGCCTTGCAGAAGTTTCGCGGAAGGCCGCAGAAGAAGAAGTAATCAACACCGGTCAGAGGGAGGTTGAGCGCTGGCATTAGCGAACGTGAAGAGTAGTCTGATTTTAAGCCACCAAGATCTAAAAACAGCATGGACGGTGGTCAAAGCAAAGGCAGCGGCCTCGAAGCCTCAATTGGAAAAGGGTGCTGAAATGGTTGCGCACGCAAGCGCGCAACCAACGGCACAATTCCTTCTGCCCGAAATCAGAAGCATCCGCGCGTCCTCTAAACAGAAACATCCGCGCGCGCCTTCCCGCAGCGCGCGGTTGCCGCCTCGCAGGATTCGCCCAAAGCCGAGGTCTCGCCTAAGCCCGGCGAGAGCGTGGATTGAACTCTGGCATCCGTTCCAGATTTAAACTGTCATTGAATAACATGAAAAAGTCCTGCTCGGAAAAAGAACCTGTGAAATCTAAGTTGATCCCATCTTCTTAAAAGAACGCGCGATCTAAATTATGGTTAAAACTAGGAATTATACTAGAGTGTTTCCTTGCAAATGTGATGCGAGCTCTGATAAACGGTTGAGCAGATCATTAGTGGAAAATCCCGCAAAAAGTCTAATTTTTAAGAGGAGTTCCAGAAAATAGGCAGTCAGCGTGTGAAGTTCTTTGGCCTTCTCAACCAAGATACAAACCAGCAGGGCCCAGCTGACCTGAGGCTTCCATTGCACACGCTTCTCGCGAGCATTGTTATGAAATGACAATGGGTCTTGCAACGCTGGTCAGAAGGGACGCAGTCATTGCAGCACATCATCCACCCACCCTTCGCCGCCCAATGTTAGAGACACCTGTCAATCCTGCTCTACAAAGGCGCTGGACGCGCAGACAGCTAAGCCCATCAGAGGCAATCCGGCTGTGAAGGAGGCTGCAAAGAATCTCTTCGTCAAGAATGTGGTTCCAGCTATCCACCACTGCGGGGAACTACAGAGCTGCCTTCGGAAGGCACGGCAGCGAGGACCTTCACCAATCTTCTATCTCCCACCTACATCTTCCCAACCTGTTCATTCGTTAAAACCCAATTATAGAAGATTTATACTGAAAAGGACGCGTTGGAACAGGCAATGGTGGGTCGGGAGATGGGGCCAATCACTTCAGGCCTGGGCTCAAGTTGCTCCAAAGTCGTCTCGCTGGCAACGCTTTCGTCGAGCAAAACTTTCGAAGTGTCGGTGGGGGCGGGCGATTTCATCCGAAGCAGAGGATGATTGAGAGGGCCGGACACCTGACGTTCGCGACCGGGGGCCTCACTCCGGATGTACCCCAACAACCCAGCAGCCCAACAGCTCAACACCAACAACAGCCGGCAGCCCAGCACCCAACAGCCCAACAGCCCAACAGCCCAACAGCCCAACAGCCCAACAGCCCAACAGCCCAACAGCCCAACCTGCGCTGGTTACTTGCCAGATCTTGAGAGCCGCTGCTGAGCCCGGCTCCGCCACAGTGTGCTTGAGCTGCTCAGCGCAGAAGGGCCAAGGCTGGCCTCAGCTTCCTCACAGCATGCGGAAGACCTCCAAACCCTCGAAGATCAGCGCGCATCTCGACACCAACGCCTTCAAGGAAGGTTCGGACAGTCACGGGCAAAGCGGAGAGTAGCTCCGAGAGGCGAGGCCCCTTCGTCTCAGAGAGCCCAACCTATTTCTCCCCACACCCCTGCGCCAAAAAAAAGAATAGAGCAAGACGCCTTGAACCGCAATCGGCCACAAGACATCTCACTCACGCAACGGTCACTCTTTCAAAGCTCACAGTGCCCCGAGCCCACCAAACCTTCATGCATTGACATTCCAAAGCCCGAGGTGCCCTACTCGTGCAGATTTTCGTTTGAGACACGAGAGATTGCGTCGGTGACTGCACCGGCTGTGCCTTTGCTGTATGCCATTGCAATTAAATTCTTGAGCCAGGACTCAATTTGCCACAATACACTAGATCAACCACTATGTGCTTGTTGTAAGTGGGGATGTGGGAATAACTACTCACAGCCATGTTCCTCACTGACGACAAGCAAGAAATGAGTCAAGCTTAGAGCGCCCATGCCCCACACCACTTGGCGGATTCAGCACCCGACTCTGCCCGGAAGATCCGTCGGGCGTCCCCCAGGAGGAGCACACGAACACCTACGACGGCCGGGGTCAAATGTGCTCGAAAAGGCGTTCACCGAGCATGGGAAACAGTGAAGGTCAGAAACGAATGGATTTTCGTGGCTCCCTACGTATTAATACGCCTATAGTGCAAATCAGCCGTACTCACCAGGCATCCCAAACAGGGTATTCCAAGTCAATCGAACAGGAAGAAAACACCAGCTGGCTCTTGACCCAGCAGCATGTGGCAAACTTTCATCTGCATCGGTGAGAATTTCCTGTTTGGGCCATGATGCACATTTTTCTCGTCATGCCCGATTATGAAAATGACTAGCACTAAAACAACCGAAACTCTCAACATGTGCCTCAAAACAAAAACGGAACAAGAGGCCGGCAAAACTATGGTTCTCTCTAGGTTTGTTGATATGTTCAAATGCAGCGTTCTGCTGCGATTCCTTACATCATGTTCCCAGCAGGAGGGTGAGTGGGTTCAGGGAGTTTTATCATGGGTTTAGGTGGGCTTTGGTTGAGATTGAACCCGGCTAAGGATGGGCTTTAGGTTGGCGTGGGGTCGAATCAGGGTGGTATTTTGGGAGGGGGTGGGGGGGCTGTGAATTAAGAGAGCGAGGAGAGAGAGAAAGAAAGAAAGAGTACGTGGGGCTTAAGCTGAGTCAAATGGAGGTTCAATTTAGATTGGCTGCCTTTGGGTTGGTTTAGGGTCGCCTGTGCGTTCTTTTGTGAGGTGGGTGTCGGTGTGCTTCCTTGCTCTCGGGTTTAGGATGGTTTCAGGGCGAGCTTGGGGCTGGCTATGAGCAGCAGAGCAGGTGACCTTCAAGGCTTCACCTGCTGTGATTTTGCTGGCACTGCGGACGTGATGCTTGTGCTACATTTGGGCTGCTCACGTGCCGCAGTCAACTTTGCGGAATTTTGTGCCTCCAGCTCCGAAATGATAACTGTTCACTAGAATGGCGGTACCCGAGTGTAGCACTTGCCATGCTTGACTCGCACAGGCAGAGAGCTTTACGACAAAGAGGCCTGGGTATCGAAGATGCCCTCTGCCGATGCAAGCTTTCGTGGCGCCTAATGTCAATAATTCAGACCAAAAGCAAAGACAAATACAAAGCAAAGTGACTGAACCCTCCTTCGTCCAAAAAA